TGCCAAAAAGTATGGAGTGCCGATAGTGCTGTCTTTTTGCTTGCTTTCAATCAATGAGCGCTCCTTTCCATCAATGAGCGCTCGCTTATGCATGCCAATTAAGTTCATTCATTGTGATTTTTTTTTCTAGCTTTCCAGCATTGAACGAAATAACGTTTGAACCGATGTTGAATCAACGAACATTAACTGTATAAATATAAAATAAAAGTCAGATGGAAAAGAACAAAGATTATGTGTTTTTTTTTTTTGTGCCATATTTTGTATCCTACTTTACTTTTATAACATTTATGAGTATAAATATATATAATGAAAGTGATAGAAAAGAATAAAGATAACATGTTTTTTAGCATTAATTGCGCCATATTTTGAATCCTACTTATTTTCTATCCTAATTATACTAAGGGTTATAAGAATTTCTTCACAAATAATGAAGTATATTAATGTCATTAATGACTGTGATATTGATTTTAAATTTAATAATCATTCATTAGTAACTGTACTTTTAGGGTTGCGTTTTATGGTTTGTATAATGTACATGATTAAAATATGAACGAATAGACAGGTAAATATACGAAGAGCATACGCTCGAATATTGAAAATATCAGCAATATCGTACTTTATGCTTTAGCGTTATTATGTATTTGTTTATTTTCCATTGCCTTTGCAGCCACTCTCTTTTTAATTTTATAGGTATATAGACCTATGTAAATGTATTAAAAAAAACAAATTTTATACCCACATCGAAAAATATGCTTATTAAAAATGTTAAACAATTAAGACAATAAAATTTTTAATGCTTTTAATTTGTCATTAATGGAAATAAACTGCTTAAAATAGGCAACAAAATACCAAGTTGCCTGTTACAGTACTGCAAGTTGCCTAGTAACAGTGAAATCAGTAAGAAACATTCCAACAAGTAGGTTCCCAAAATGGGCGTATCCAACTAGTTCATTTTGTTGACTACAAATTTTTTTTGAGTATTATGTTCATTCGACTGGTTCGTAACATAGACTTTGTAAACAAAAAATTAACGTAACCAGAGTGCCTTAATTTGTGTTAAGTTATCCATGTGACCAAAACAAACATGGCCGATTGGTCAGTTTAGAAACAACATTTACGTTAATAAAATTTAGATTAAATTTCAGAAAATAAAAATTATAATATTTACCCACAAAAAATAATTGTAGCCTAACAATAACATAATTTTCAAAAACTGGATGAACACATTTCTTTTACAAAAATCTATACTGCCACAGGCCGAAGCATTCTTGATTATGCAGCGTGTAACGCGGTAGCTATGCAGCCATTCTTTTTTGTCTAATTCGGCCTGGAAATGCTGAAAAAATGACTGAAAACGATCGTTTTTCATACCAACGTTATAATTTTGCTGCGACAATCCATAAAAATGCTGTTTATGGTACTTTTAATCATTAACAAAAGTCTACAGAAGTTATAAGAGATAGGAATGAACGGCGTGGAAGTGCTATTGAGGAAAATGTATCACTATCTGAAGTTTTGAAGAGTTCTTCAAACAGGCAAATCCAGGCCTAGGTGAGGAGGCCTAGGCCTACACGAGGTCCAGGAAACGTGCTCGGCAGCAGTTGGTGTAAGCTTAGCGAGGATCGTTTAGGCCTCCACGAATAAGGTCGACTGTGATGCATGGAACACTTTGTATTGTATGTTCTCAATCAATTTGATTCCTTGAATGACTACTAATTGGAGCGGGCCAAATGGCCAAGCGGTTAAAGCAGGGGCACCGTGATCATAGCCAACAATATTGGCACAGGTTCGTTCCTATAGTTCAGGTGGTGGAACAAGTCTTCTCGGATAAGGACTATAAACCGTAGGCCCAGTGTACACAAATGCTCATGTGCACTTTAAAGAACCCAGTACATCTTTCGAGATGAGTAGGGGGTTACCCTGGTGTACTGGTTCATTCGGCCCCATCATGGACAGATGAAAGTGCGCCGGTTTATTGGCTGCTGAAGACATGAAGTGACCCTTAGGAGAGGAGAAAGTTATTGTAAAAGTGCAACATCTAGTCCCGAGCGCATAGAGACCATGTATTATGCGCTATATAAGTCTCCAACCATAATACCATTACCATTAATAGCCTATTCTGATAATTATAATATGATAAATATGCATATAAATGATGACTACTGTATGCGGAGGGCAAAAATGTTTTACCTCAGTAATATAAGAAGGCTGCGAGTTCATACTCGTTGAGACTGCCTCCTCTCAATGTTTCAATATTTTATTTATGTTATGTCGCCTTTTCCACAAATCGGCAGACATGTCGAAGGGACAGCTCAAAGGCAGTGGTGCGTAAATATCAAAAATTAAATAAGCTATGAGGCTAACTTCTTGACCTCATGTTTTTTGAAAATTCATAACTCCATAACAGTGTTTCGTATGCTGATAGTTTTTATTCTACACTACTTACTATCTGATTTGAAATATAAAGTTGAAATTTTTTCATCAAAAAAAAAAAAAATCCCCCCAAAAATTTATACCATGAATCATGACTGTACATCTAGGCCTAGGCCTACTTACACAATTGTTTTGCTAACAAGACTCAATGATTTTCCTTCTTGATGACAACGAGTGTAGTAGCATAATTATTTTTAATAGTTGTGCTCAGCTTTGGTATTTTTATGAAACAGGTCTCTAACTTCACAATCTACAATGATTGACAAATATACATTTAACCCAAGTTTATTTTGTAATGTATTTTGCTTTGGTGTATATGGTGTTCAACTTTTTGATGTTAATAAATGTTTTATCTATGTTAAATTTGTGATTGATTCATTAAAAGACTTCTTGGCATACTTTGTTAAAGTAGTAAAAAAAAAAAATTTTATTAGGACATGTGCAGAAAAAAAAACTTGATATGCGGATAAGAAAAATTAACCCCTCTTCCCTGATTTTCACTTGAGATATGACGCTAAACATGTACTTTTTTTTTTTTTGCCCTAATTATGTTTCTTCACGTTTAATCAACTGCAGGATTTTGATTATGGATATTATGTATTTACGTGACTGCGATCATATTTTAGCACCAATCAAAATTCAACTCCCACCCACATGCAATGCATCATTAGATTTTGCTTTAATCTATTTCAAAAGGGAAAAAAAATCATAACTGATGAATTTAGAGAACTGTTATACAGGCTTGGCTTAGCTATAGGCTTAGGAAGGATAGGGCTTTCTGTCATCCGGCCTAGGAGCGAGTGTGTGTGTACAACTACTGTACCATAATGGTTTTTCTTTGATGTGTGGATTTTGTTCAGGGGCGGATCCAGAGACTGTCTCTTATACACATCTAGATGTGTATAAAGGACAGGTATTATGCGCTATATAAGTCTCCAACCATTACCATTACCATTAATAGCCTATTCTGATAATTATAATATGATAAATATGCATATAAATGATGACTACTGTATGCGGAGGGCAAAAATGTTTTACCTCAGTAATATAAGAAGGCTGCGAGTTAATACTCGTTGAGACTGCCTCCTCTCAATGTTTCAATATTTTATTTATGTTATGTCGCCTTTTCCACAAATCGGCAGACATGTCGAAGGGACAGCTCAAAGTCAGTGGTGCGTAAAAATCAAAAATTAAATAAGCTATGAGGCTAAGTTCTTGACCTCATGTTTTTTGAAAATTCATAACTCCATAACAGTGTTTCGTATGCTGATAGTTTTTATTCTACACTACTTACTATCTGATTTGAAATATTAAGTTGAAATTTTTTCATCCAAAAAAAAAATCCCCCCAAAAATTTATACCATGAATCATGACTGTACATCTAGGCCTAGGCCTACTTACACAATTGTTTTGCTAACAAGACTCAGTGATTTTCCATCTTGATGACAACGAGTGTAGTAGCATAATTATTTTTAATAGTTGTGCTCAGCTTTGGTATTTTTATGAAACAGGTCTCTAACTTCACAATCTACAATGATTGACAAATATACATTTAACACAAGTTTATTTTGTAATGTATTTTGCTTTGGTGTATATGGTGTTCAACTTTTTGATGTTAATAAATGTTTTATCTATGTTAAATTTGTGATTGATTCATTAAAAGACTTCTTGGCATACTTTAGTTAAAGTAGTAAAAAAAAAAATTTTATTAGGACATGTGCAGAAAAAAAAACTTGATATGCGGATAAGAAAAATTAACCCCTCTTCCCTGATTTTCACTTGAGATATGACGCTAAACATATACTTCTTTTTTCTTTTTTTTTTTTTTGCCCTAATTATGTTTCTTCACGTTTAATCAACTGCAGGATTTTGATTATGGATATTATGTATTTACGTGACTGCGATCATATTTTAGCACCAATCAAAATTCAACTCCCACCCACATGCAATGCATCATTTTGAGATCTAGTTCCTTGTATACTTGCTCATTAGATTTTGCTTTAATCTATTTCAAAAGGGAAAAAAAATCATAACTGCTGAATTTAGAGAACTGTTATACAGGCTTGGCTTAGCTATAGGCTTAGGAAGGATAGGGCTTTCTGTAATCCGGCCTAGGAGCGAGTGTGTGTGTACAACTACTGTACCATAATGGTTTTTCTTTGATGTGTGGATTTTGTTCGGGGGCGGATCCAGAGATGTCCAAAGGGGGGGGGGCCGAAAGCTGGGCCAACCAGACAACAGCATCCTAGGACATTGGGGGCATGCTCCCTTGAAATTTTTGTGTTCTAGACGCCCAAAAATAACATTTGAGGCATTCTGGGTTATCATTTTTTTCTTTTTTATTTTCTTTTATTTTCTTTTTTGTACTTCTGAAAGTGGGGGGGGGGGAGGGACTGGGCCGGGGGGGGGGGACTGGGCCGGCGGCCCACCCCTTCCCCACAAATCCGCCCCTGGACACCCAAAAATAACATTTAAGGCATTCTGGGCTATAATTTTTTTTCCTTTTTTCTTTTTTTTTTTTTACCTACCAAAAGGGGAGGACCGGGGGCTGGGCTGCCCCCACCCCAAAAAAAAATGTAGCGGCAGTTTGGCACAGCAGTTGACGTTTGGGCTTTCAATCGTAAGGTCGGAGTTTGGAGTCTCCACTGTGCAGATTTGCTTGTGTCCTTGGGCAAGGCACTTTAGCTATATTGCTTCAGTCCACCCAGCTGTATCAATGGGTACCAGCAAACTGCTGGGGACTAACCTGCGACGGACTAGTGTATCGTCCAGGGGAAGTACAACTCTCATCTGCTTCACACTATGAGCCCCCAGTGGCTCGGAAAGGATTTAGTTGGTAGTTAGTAGTGAATGGCTTTGGTGACTATTAATTATTGCAATTCCCAAATTTCCTTTTAGTTTTTGCGTACAAAGGAACATACTCACCCGCAGGGTTCTGGTTGTCAACGTTATAAGTAAACGTATTACAGATTCTCTGTACTAAAGTATACAATAGTGCCACATTATAATTACTGTACTCAGTTTATTTAGCGACAGTGTGTTGGTTTTGGGATTGGAAACCTCATATATTTGCTTTTAAAAAGCACATTGAAAAGTTACGAGCTTTCAGTTATACAATATAATATATCTTTATTCATCCCACTTGGGGCAATTCAATGTTGTCTACATTTCAGGACATAAAGTAGGCTTTAAACTGCCGTACAGTGTAAAGCAATGGTCTATAAATCACTATATAGATCATTTACAGATATGCCTCAGGATATCATGACGCTTTTGAATTAGTGGCTTAACAACGAATCATAGGGACTGGAGAAAATATGGCAGGACCTTGTGTGTCAGCAAATTTTGCTCACAAAGTGGGTGGGTGATCTCACTATCTAAAAAGATATGAATATTATGGCTGAAAAGACAGACAAAGCTCTATATTATAACTGTGCCTTGCTGTGCTAATTATTAGTAAGAGGAGCTCGGTACTCGTAATGGTTTGGGCCTGGGGCGTTACTACCACACAGAGCTCATGGGCGTTACACCACTGTCTTGAATACCTTGGGTATGAGCTGTGTAGTTTCTTTACTTACCAGCACTATTATGGATATCAGTTATAAGATCATTGCTTTCTGGCAGCTGTGCCTGATTATAAGCATCTTCCTCTTCCTCGTGTAATATTCTTGGTAGTTGGATCATGGCTTGTAGGCACGGCTCACTAAGGGTGTCATTCTTGACTATATGGAAGGGTATCTCAAGTCGTTCATACCTAACATAGTAGACAATCATAAATTTATTAATTTTATTTACACAAATTCTTGTTGCAAATCATCAGCATTTCTATACTGATCAGGTCTACAGTACTGTAGATTGCTTATGGCATATTTGTCTTACACATCATAGGACTGTTGGTCACAATATGGAAATAAACACAGCCTTAGCATACCTTATTTTTAAATTTAACCTCTAGCAGTATGTAACCTATGAATTAGACAATTAGGCGAAATTAGTTGAAAAACATGAGACTACAATAATATTAAAATTAACTTTTTTCATCATCTGTACACCTTCACTAGATTTCAAAGGTAACTTGATTGTTGTCACATATAACATACACTTGGTAGAGTATTGTCAGTATGTGCACAGTATGTCAGTAGAGTGTGTGCACAGTATGTCAGTAGAGTATGTGCACAGTATGTCAGTAGAGTGTGTGCACAGTATGTCAGTAGAGTATGTGCACAGTATGTCAGTAGAGTGTGTGCACAGTATGTCAGTAGAGTATGTGCACAGTATGTCAGTAGAGTGTGTGCACAGTATGTCAGTAGAGTATGTGCACAGTATGTCAGTAGAGTGTGTGCACAGTATGTCAGTAGAGTATGTGCACAGTATGTCAGTAGAGTGTGTGCACAGTATGTCAGTAGAGTATGTGCACAGTATGTCAGTAGAGTGTGTGCACAGTATGTCAGTAGAGTATGTGCACAGAATTTTATTTACACAAATTCTTGTTGCAAATCATCAGCATTTCTATACTGATCAGGTCTACAGTACTGTACATTGCTTATGGCATATTTGTCTTACACATCATAGGACTGTTGGTCACAATATGGAAATAAACACAGCCTTAGCATACCTTATTTTTAAATTTAACCTCTAGCAGTATGTAACCTATGAATTAGACAATTAGGCGAAATTAGTTGAAAAACATGAGACTACAATAATATTAAAATCAACTTTTTTCATCATCTGTACACCTTCACTAGATTTCAAAGGTAACTTGATTGTTGTCACATATATCATACACTTGGTAAGGTATTGCAAAGTATAATAGTAGAGTACTGTCAGTATGTGCACAGTATGTCAGTAGAGTATGTGCACAGTATGTCTGTAGAGTATGTGTAGAGTATGTCAGTAGAGTGTGTGTACAGTATGTCAGTAGAGTATGTGTACAGTATGTCAGTAGAGTGTGTGCACAGTATGTCAGTAGAGTATGTGCACAGAATGTCAGTAGAGTATGTGCACAGTATGTCTGTAGAGTACTGTATGTGTACAGTATGTCAGTAGAGTATGTGCACAGTATGTCAATAGAGTGTGTGCACAGTATGTCAGTAGAGTATGTGCACAATATGTCAGTAGAGTATGTGCACAGTATGTCAGTAGAGTATGTGCACAGTATGTCTGTAGAGTATGTGTACAGTATGTCAGTAGAGTATGTGTACAGTATGTCAGTAGAGTATGTGCACAGTATGTCAGTAGAGTATGTGCACAGTATGTCAGTAGAGTATGTGTACAGTATGTCAGTAGAGTATGTGCACAGTATGTCTGTAGAGTATGTGCACAGTATGTCAGTAGAGTATGTGCACAGTATGTCTGTAGAGTATGTGCACAGTACCATGTCTGTAGAGTATGTGTACAGTATGTCAGTAGAGTATGTGTACAGTATGTCAGTAGAGTATGTGCAGAGTATGTCAGTAGAGTATGTGTACAGTATGTCAGTAGAGTATGTGCACAGTATGTCAGTAGAATATGTGTACAGTATGTCAGTAGAGTATGTGCACAGTATGTCAGTAGAGTATGTGCACAGTATGTCTGTAGAGTACTGTATGTGTACAGTATGTCAGTAGAGTATGTGTACAGTATGTCAGTAGAGTGTGTGCACAGTATGTTAGTATAGATTTGCATAGTATGTCAGTAGAGTATGTGCCACATATAATATCAGCAGTGTATCCACATAAGTCTTTCTCCATCACACAATTTCTCTACATTTTAATTTAATTTTACAGTAATTCAAATTCTTCTCACTTAAAAAAACCCCCCAATTACATTGCTATTATCTGATTGCTACTTACATTGGAGGTTCCCCTTCAGGACTTTGATTGGTTGACTGAAAGCAAGTGACTGTCACATGACCCTGATTGGTGGTTTTGTCATCATGAAAACAAGAGAAGATGAGCCCAACAAATCCCTCATCCATCATCTGATACATAGCTTGTGTTTGCACATCTATGAATAGTTGCGAATACAAACATTGTTTTCAAATTTCATTCATAACAAAAAACAGAAAATTTGAAATCAAGTGGCAATAAACAGTAAGCCTACTCTGTACTGAAAATGCCCTTTAAGCAGCTTACTGTAAAGAACAGTAAAAGAAAGAAAAGAGAAAAAGAAAGGCAAGCATTTAACCAACTTAAAAAAAAAGTGTTTAGTTTGATTGCAAAACTGTAAATTTAACAATATCCAGGTGCATTTGCAATTTAAACTGATGATTAGACGTCTACTGAAAAGAGTAACCAGTAGGAA